CGTTCCTGTATAGCAATTTTAGATGAAGCGAATGCCACTATGCGTCAAATGGCTAGTGGAGTTCATGCTCGAGAATCTTTCAATGCTATGCGTGATTTGTTAAATGTAGCTACTCATGTTGTTGCTATGGATGCTTTTGCAAACAATTCGACTTTAGCTTTCTTAAAATCCTATCGAGGTGAGAATGTTCGAGTTATTGATAACAAATATCAACCACGTAAAGGGGAGATTGTTAAATTTCTTTACGATCCAGATAAAGGTTCAGAAGCTATACGTAGAGGTCTTAGGATGCTCCAAGAAGGTAAGCATGTTGCATTTGTTATGACATCCTGTAAAAAAGCTTGAGCCTTAGCTAATCAAACATCTAAGTTGCAAAAACCTGATGGTTCATTCATTTTATCACGAGTTTATTTTGGCCAAATGGATGGGAAACAACACCAAGATGATTTTGCTAATATTGATGCCACCTGGAGTGGTCTTGACTGCGTAATTTATACAAGCACTGTGGAAGCTGGCATCTCCTTTGAAATATCTGGTTATTTTGATGCCGTTATAGGAATTACTAATATTGCCACTCCGGTCCATGTTGAAGCGTTTGCTCAGATGTTGTTCAGAATCCGTGACTGCCCATTACGTATGGTTTCCCTTTATCATAGCAAAAAATTTGATATTTTCAAAGAACCATGTCGGGAACTCATTCGGGCTGAACTTTCAGCATTAAGACCTGGAGACTTACCAACATCAGATTCGTTTTTAATAAGATATTCTGAAGATAAAGAAATTAAGGATTCAGGTATTTCTTTCTTGATTTCGATAATGTTTGAAAATTGCTTAGAATCGTTTGATTCACTCTGAGTTAATACCGAAGAAGACAGTTGTGGCAATTTTGTTACGGATTTCTCAACTATATTATTACAAGAACTTTCTTCACAAATCTCAATACTGGATTTTGAAATGGTAATATCAGTGGTAATGGGTATTGAATCAAAAAGTTCCTGAGTTTCATTGACTGATTCAGGTTTATATGGTGGAAGAATTGGATTTGTAGAGCGATAATTAGGATCGTTTAATTTTATAGCCATTATTCTTTCTATAGTTTCAAAACCAGCTCCATTATCTGGTACACAATAAATCCAATAAGTACGCTTCCATACTCACTGATCTTTTGGCCCTGAAAGCTTTCGCTCACTCTTAATAGTATAACCACACCAACTACCCCTTACAGCATTAATCAATTTTTTTGTAGCCTTGAGATCTTGCATTCCTTTAGCTCTGGTCTTAAAACCAAAGAGTAACAATGCATCTGCTCGAATTTTAACTATTTTTTCCTGTGATTGTTCGAAAGCTTTTGTCACATCATCACCAGAAAGAATGTTCGTATCATCTATATCACTGAAGCCTATCGATTTGACAAGATTATGTACCGCTTTCCATTGTTTTACTGAATAAAATTTATGTAAATCAACTGAGGATGTATTCATAGATTCGTGTGAAT